CGCGAGAAATAATGTCGGGACGTAACTGAGCTTCGCGATGAAAAATGAGCTTTGGAGGAGGAATTCCCGGACTTGTAACGACTCTCTTTCACGCCAATGTATATATTAAATGAAAACGCACTGGCTCTGTTGGCGTTATTTTAATAAACGGTTTATTTAAATTGAACACGGATTTATTAGTAGGAACAAAATTGGGTTAGTTAACACTACAATACTACAAAGAAGAGTTATGAATCGAGGTTAGATTTAAAAAATTACTGTGAGTAGTATATTTTTGCATTAAATGCAACAAAATTTTAATAGAACCGTTTATTCATAACAGTTAAAAGCATTTTGTTGTAGTTCCCTTTGATAATTCTGATTAAAATTTGTGTAAATCTTGACTTAATGGACATATTTGTAACAAACATATAATTTATTTATCTCAAATATGGATTTATTAGTGGGTACAAAATCAGAGTTCAGAAATCTAAAATTATTAACGAAAACGTTTATTTACAGTAATTACAAGCTTATTCATTCAAAAGGTTTTCAAGGTTCCATTCATGGCTGTGATTAAATTTTGAGTAATCCTGACATGCTTTTAATAAATATTTTATTTAACTCACAATGAGTTTATTAGTGAATACAATATTGAATTACTTAACTCTACAGTACTAAAAAAACCAGTTTCAATGTATAATACGGGGTTAAATTTAAAAATTATTATAGTTTACACAAATTAGCATTAAATGTAACAAAATTTTAATAAAATTGTTTATTTTTAATAATTAAAAGTTTATTTATCGTAGAAACTTTTGAGTGTCATTTTGAGCTTGTGATTAAACTTTGTACAAATCTTGACGTAACGGACATACTTTTAACAAATATGCCATTTATTTAACTCAAACACCCGTTTATTAGCAGATACAAATCAGATTACATACATATTACAATATATTTAGAGGTGTGAAACGAGATCACATTTTTAAATATTATTTTAGGTCATGTATTTCTATATTGAATGCAACAAAATTTTTATTAAACCATTTATTAATAACAATTAAAAATTAATTTGTTGTAGAAACTTTTAAGAGTCCCTTTGATGTTTATGACTACATTTTTTGTAAATTTTGACTTGGACATACTTGTAATAAATAGTTTATTCGCCTTAAACATAGATAGGTTTATTAGCGAGTTCAAAATTGAGTTAGTTAATACTACAAAAAAATAGTTTTGACGTTTTCAAAGGGGTCCAGATTAAAACAATTTATTATGCATATTTATACAGATAACAGTTCCAGTACGTTATTTATTTTTGTATTAACTACAACAAAATTATATTAAAACTGTTTATTAATAACAATTAACAGTTTATTTGATTAGAACTGTTACAAAATCTCTGACTATAAATTAACTGAAGTTACTGTTGTCGTCATAGATTGAACAAAGGGCTATATAACTGGAAATTGTTCCTCTCTCACTGGTCTAGTACTTGTAACAATCTATTAATCAATTAGCAAATGTAATAACTTCCACTAACCACGTCCAAATTCCTTTGTAATAGGCGAGTAATTATCGATTTGCAATTTGCACCGGAGTTTGATGCCTACTAGTTGAAATCATCACAATCTAGAGTTGACAACAGCAGATATGTGGTGAATTGTTCGGATATCTTGAAAATATTTTTTTGTTCAAGCTACAAAACACATGTTTGATTTTAAAATCAGATTTTTTTGTTCTAACAAACGCTTTGTCCTCATTCCCATGGACGAACAACTTAATTTATATTTTAGCTCCTGCTGATTAGTTTTTTAGAGAGATAAGTACTATATTTAGATGACTTTATCAGAATAAAATATAGTTCTGAGGATGGCTGGATAAAAATGACGAAATGTGGGACATCTTCTGGAAATGTCATGAAACATGTTCAACAAACTGTAACTGAGTACCGTCGCTTCTTTAATAAATTATTTAATATCACACGAGATTATTGACATCCCAAAGCGCATTCTCTAGAGCTTGTGAAACAGCATCGTTATGAGGCAAGTTCCAGTAAATGCATAATGCAAATGAGAAAATCTGCTGGAGGCAATTAAGGTTGGCACTGATAGCGCCGTTTGAGATATACGACCTATTTGAAATGTAGATCTACGTACGAAATAGCAATTCACCGTCTGTGAAATTTCGGCGCGATATGTTACAACTTTGTATACTTAATATTACTATATATAAAAGCGTTTTCATCGAGTTTTTTTAGTTAATTAACTTCTTTTACAAGTATCATAAATTTCAATTCATTAAATATGTCACTGGAACTAATCACTATGTCCAAATCAATATCATTCTTTTGCCAAAAGTAAATGGACTTAATGGATATTAGGTTGACCTTGCAACGTGTGGTGAAGGTCAAATCTAAGGTCACCATTGTATTTGCATGCAAACTGCTAGAAATTTTGCTTGAAAAGTTTTGCTCCACAATTCAATCTTGCGGAGTTATTCAAAGAAATGAGTATGACCTCCAAATAGCTTGCAAGGACATACCAGAAAAAATTCCTGGCGTATCTACAATAGCAGCAGCAACAGCAACAATAACAGTAGCAGCAACAGCAACAGCAACAGTAACAGTAACAACGACAACGACGACGACGACCACAACAACAACAACAACAACAACGACAACAACAACAAAAATAACGACAGCAATAACAACAACAGCAAAAATAACGACAGCAATAACAACAACAGCAAAAATAACGACAGCAATAACAACAACAACAACAACAACAACAACAACAACAACAACAACAGCAAAAATAACGACAGCAATAACATGTACAACAGCAGCAGCAGCAGCAGCAATGCAGGAAAATATACTTAAATGTACAATGCGTTAATTGTAAATATTACTCGAAATGATTTAAATACAAATATTTACATCGAGAGATAAAGCTTATTAATAACTAGAATTTTTTTTATTCTTGTTTACGCCGAAATATTACTTATTATTTCCATGAAAACAGTGACGTACCCGAGATTGGTGCCTCCACAGTTGGAATAACAAATAAGGTGTTCCATTATTTTCGAGCTGACCTTGGTTTGATCTTAAACCTTAAGTCAAGGTCAAACTGTTACCTGAACCTTTCTTTATAGGACTCAATCCTGAAATGTTATCGGGGGATTCCTGCCTTTTTGGGATACCCTATATAATAAAAAAAAATGCAATCTACAGCTATATCGACTAAGTAGTTAATGTGTTCAATACACGTGAGACAAACAAACTACTACCAAACCCTCCCAGACGGGTGTCCGCAACAATTTATGTTACGCCCTCAATCGGCTTAGCTAGAGCCCCAGAAATTACTTAATTCGATCAAATCTTTTGATGTAGTAATGACAAATCGATGGCGCGTTTCAGATTATGGGTGTACCCAGGGAAACAGCAATTTGAATTGCTTATGACTTTATTTGCCCGTCCGAAATATAGCGAATGAATATTCAAATCGGGAAAGGTAAGTAGGAGGGGTACTGGATATGATTTGGGATTAGAGTAGCAAGAGGCATAAGATGGAAAGAAAATCAGATCGGGCTTAGATTGTTCAAAAGAGGATGTACGTACAAAGAGTAAAAACTTTCACGGGTCGCTTTGATGTTTGAGACCAAAGTTTCTGTAAATCTTGACCGATGAATCTCGTGTGATGATCTAGATTGATAGGAGGATTTAGTCAATGGAATACAGTGGTAGGGCAACATTTTTGCAAAGGATACATGAACCTTAAAAAAGCCATTCACGGTGCACAAATCCCCCTAAAATTTCGGAACCGTGGACAAGAAAGTGCTGACAACTTACGACGCACGAAAGGAACAGGCCGAGCAAACACAATTTCACGCACGAAAATCGGGAATTTCTCCACGAAGTTGCACTGTTAGGCCTTGCGGACTCAGCGTGGTTTGTGTTCAGACGTCCACTCGAGTACCATACAGTTTAATAATCAGGATCGGAACTTAGCCAGTATATGTAGTGCGCTACAAATTTTGCTTTTACGGTTATATACAGGTGTTTGAATAACTTCCATTTGTTGTTAACTGAATAAAGAAATACAATAAATCACACAAATTTTTACGAATATTCACTTTATATAAAATTTCTTCTAAAAAATTTTGAACTCTCACAGGTCTTAAAGTTTCCGTACAAGTTCCAAAAGTTTCCATACCAGGCACTTCAAGAAAGACTCCGACGAAAACACTTTATATTTCCGAAACAATTGAAGATAGATATAGGATATTGTACATGAAATATGTCTAAAATTTTCTGAAAAATCCAAAAAAGGAATAATATACAGATGGTTAAAAATTGCGAAGTCTTTTTATTTGCAAAATGTGATTATTGTTTTTTTTAAATCTTATTCTTCTAAATCATTTGACTAAATCCCATATTTAAGAATTTCTTGAGTTCTCGATCAACTTTGCTAAATACAATTTTTAACAAAAACAAAAATTAAAGGCACTGCTTAGGGAAAATTTCATTTTGAAATTTTTTGGACGCCCTGTATGTTTTATTACATACTTGATTACTGTTCATGGCTTCCCAAGATAGGCAAAACTTTTTATCAAGAATAACATTTTTTTACTGTAAACGTTAAGATATTAAAAGGCATTCGAATATTTTTCAAATTTCTCGACAAAATCGACATTCTTTCTCTTTCTCTGTTAATTTTCGAAACGTTTTACTTATTTTATGCCTTGCAGAAGATAATACGTGAAAAATCACACAATTTTTACGAAACAATTTTTTCTGCTCCCCTCAAACACCCTGTATATGTTAAATTCCCACCTTCCGAGTAATCCCCAGAGAAATCTGGTCGCCTATGGGCAAGAGCTCGTAAACGAAATGCACCGCACGCTCGCAGAGGCCATCTATGTACTTCCGTTCTACATTTCCTCTCTCTTTTCTTTTTCAGGACGACTGACGGCGTCTAGGAGCTTGAAGGTCCTGCAGGGAGCCGCTCGATCCTTCCAAAATGCCGGTCGGCGGGAGGGTAGCGGGAAAAGTCAGCGGGATTATCTCCAACAACTACAACGGTTAGTGGGTTTGAATAATAAGTAAAGGACGCTGGTTGATTTTTTTTTTAACTGACGAGGAAACTTTTGGTTGATTTGAGAGTTTGTTGCACTTTTCTATGACCATTCTTTAATTTCTGCAAAGCGTTCACTGTTTCAAAAAAATTTAAAAAAATATATACCAGCTAGTTACAATTGCACAAAAATAATAAATGTATTGAAACATATAGGATGATTCATATCTTATCAAAAAAAATTGGGAATCAATGCGTCATGAAAAATGGAGTCATTTCGTAAAAAAGTTTTACAACTCGTAGATATTTTAAATACCTAGTTTGACAAATTAAAAAAAAACTAATCAGAGAAACCGTTTGTCTATTAAAGGAAGAATAATATGATTAATACAAACAAAAAATTGTAAAGATAAAAACTGCTTATTACAATTTAACTTAGGCCTTAATTTATAACAAAAATAAAACAAAAACAACAATGAGTAAACTTTATTATTATTTCATATAGACATTCGTTTTGTTTTATATGTATTTAATTTATTTTGTTGACTTACATTATTATAATTACATATTTATCAATTATTTTTTGTCAAGTTTTGTTTTTAAAACATTATTTAAACCTACATGAAACTTGTTTTCATCAATCTATCGATATTTTTGTTCCTACGGCCTTCGTACTTTCTGATCTGGCAACACTGTAGCCATATTTCAGCCTGTATGCCCAGTAAAGGCAAGCATCGATTTGTAACATAAAAGAAAAATAATTAAATGAGCGATGCGGATTGAGAAAAGTACTTCAAATTGAATAAACTAAAAATTAAATTAAATGTAAAGTGAAGCTAAAAGTCACTATTGAAAGTGCGGGAAAAATGACCGAATTAAAGAAAATAAAGAGGAAATAATATCAGCAACTGAGAAAATAATAATAAAATAAATGTAAAGTTGCAAAAATCGTATTGTTTTTCCAAAAATTTTAGGATAACAAAAACAAAAATTAGTAGCAATAAATTCTGCTAATAGAAGCACAGAAAAAAGTATATCAGTAAAAAAAAAGTATTAAATAGAGCAGAGACAACAGCAGTCTACAACCCATTCAAAAGGCAAAACAAAGTAAAACAAAACAATAAAAAAGTTGGAATTATCTAAATGGTGACAAAATAAACCAATATAATAAAAATATAAAATATACACAACAAAGCAAATATATCTATCTGAAATATGCAAAGTTTACTTTTTGCTAGTACATATGCCTTTATTCATTTTTTAAGAAATAAAACTTTTTATTAACAAACATTCTTTTTCGCACAAATTTCTTACACATAAAATCTTGGCGCCTCACGTGGTGCCAGTAAAAATAAAAAATCAAAATAAAACAAAATTCTAGACGTTATAATAAAAAAAATTCCTTACGTAGTACACAGGATGTTGTTGAATGAGAGTTTCCTCTTAGCAGACACTTATTTATTGGAAAACGAAACAATGCTCGAAACAAAAACAATAAAAAGTGAAAAATTGGAAATTGTAAGAAAACTTACTCATGGGGTTCAAGATAACTAATAACTTCGAACCCGGTATATGTCTGGTGGATCTGCTGTTCTATTCTAATAATCATTTTAATCTCTCGTTATGATGGATCGAACCCCTAATAATTACGAACCTATCCTTTAAAAAAAAACATTCCAAAACCCATTTCCTCTTCCCCTATTCTCCGGGCAGCGTTGAATGCAAATTTTAACGTCCTAATGACCCTATAAAAGTAAATATGAGGATAAAAATAAATGGGTTTGTTTGAATAAAACAGCCTGGATTTCTGCTGCCCTTATAACGAGCCCTCTGGCGACTTTTAATGCAGATTATTGCGATTAGTGAAGTGAAAATCTGAAAGCAACGCCAACTGTATTGGAAACGCAAATGAAATAAGTATACACTGATAAAACTGTTAAATTGTAACACATATTCTTTTCAAATTATTTGCGACTGTATTCCCTGTTACCTCTTTTCTCTATGTTCTGTCATATTTATATAATGGATAGTCGTTTAATTGAGAAAAAGCTTCACCAATTTATCCACGTTTCAAGACAATATATACAGTGTGTAAAATTAAATGGGGGTCAATTTTTTAGGAGCAATAGTACGTGTTGCACAGAACACTAATCTGAAACTATTATTATTTTGCTTAATCAAATAAATGGTCGAATTCGATTCCTAAATTCCACTTATCAACAATATAATATAACAATAACAATATATAACAATAAATAAAAATATTTACTGATCTGACAAATTTAAATAATTCAAGTTTTTAATGCTTGCTACTATTTTTTAAAGAATACATTTGGTTTGTAACACTCCATGTCAGAAGTTGCAAAATTTTAAATGAAATACTATATGTTTTTTCTTTCTTTCTTCTCGTTAAACCACTTCATCATCTGAATCCGTGCTAGACATTTTAAATTAATCCAAAACAATATACAACAGCTACCAAATTAAACCGCAAATGATACGCACGAAATAAAAACTATTATACGTTGTGAAGTACGGTTCTGTATATATGCATGTTATAGTACTTGGTCATGTTTACAGGCTCGAAATGCTAGTTGACTTTACATCTCAGTTATACGATCATGACATCAGGGTGGAAGACGAGTAAATAACAAATGGTTAACGTTTATTTCAGTGTTTAGTAATGGTATGTACGATGTACAGTGTAAGCTCTTTAATCCGAACACCACATTGCCAGGCATTGTTCGTATTATCGAATCGTTCGGATTATCGAACATACTATAAAGATTTGTACAATATGTATATTATGTAACTACATACTCATTTTATTATAACAATATAAATATAAATCATACAAGACACATAAAATTTATATAAAGTAAAACATAAACATGTAGTTACATATACATAAATGTTATATAAATAATACATATGTATTATTTTACGCTTTTCACAATTTTTATCAATTTAAGTAACAAAAAATAAATAAAAAGGCTTTAATTTTTGTCTGGCGCATTGAAAAAGTTTGTTATTTTTGTGATTCTTATTTTTAATTGCTGCATCTTGCTGCATTGCTGCCGACTACTCGCGTACGCGCGAAGCGATCTAGTCTTTTCTTGTCATCTCGTCATCTCGCTTGTCATCGTTCAGATTTCGCCGTTCGGATTAGCGTGTGATCGGATTAACGTGTGTTCGGATTAAAGAGGTTGCACTGTATTAGTATCTTCATTTTTTTTTACTACTGTTTGAGTTTTTTGTTTGATAACTTGTTACTATTTTTTTTTTCTCTTAACGAGAGAGAATTGACAACAAAGTATGTTATAGCTTCCAAGTGTGTACATGCTTGACGCCAGTGGCGGGGTAAAAAATTATGAAAAAGGCATTAAAAAAATCAAAAATCAAAAAGGTCAAAGGCAGCCTCGGTATAAACATAACCCTCATTCAAATTTACACCCAGTATTTTTACACACCTTTTCTTAGTGATTTTCGGCAAAAAAAGATGACAGCGTACCAAATACTTTCATATAGTACTTCAAATGGAAAAGGCATATAAAATTTTGCGCCTTTCTCTCTATTTAAAACTTCATTCTGTACTATTCTTTTATTTTCTCTACAGAAGGTAAAAAATTATGAGGAGGCTAGAATATTATGGAAGTTTCCTTTCTTTTTTTTTTGGCTACTCGCATTAAACATACCTACTACTAGAAACCACAAATATATCTGTAGAAGATTACACTAATAAAATAAGCACTTTCTTTCAGTGTAGAATCTCGAAGTGATAATTTTTTGCGCGAGTTGTTCTCGTTCGAGTAAACTCTGTTCTCAGTGTAGTAATTCCGATCTTTTAATACAGATCTATGGCCGTCAATCCCAATAATTCCCGTCCATTAAAATATGGAGATTTCGGAGAATTGTTCGATGAATCCCATTAGATTTTCGTTCCGGTTCAGTTGCAGAAATCGAGTTGGCTTTGATGAAGAACATTAAAATGTTGCGCTCAAGTGCATTATAATCAATTTAACCACACAAAAATTGCACTGAATGTTATATTAAACGTACATGATGTACCTAATTCAGCGGACAATTTTAATTTGATTCTTTTAATGTTTGTCTTGACCTGAAAGTTATCGGAGATAATATATCGTCGATTTCGATCAGCTTCCAGTTCTCTGCTCTGATTACTGAGCCATATATCGACGAAAAACCTTCGCGTACATTCTTGGAAGGTTCCCAAAGTTACACGTGCTTGCCAATTTTCGTCTCACAGATATAGGAGCGACATAAAACCGGCGGCATCTCTCGAAACTCAAATAAATTACGGACCATAAGGTATAAACCTACTTGCCTGTTTTTGAGATTATAAAAGATTTGCTTGAACCGGGAAGCTTGATATACGGTGGACATAACTCAAAATAAAACTCGTGGCAGACGTATTACAGAAAAAGCAACGTCAGATTATGTAACAGAGCAGAAAATAAGGCTTTTCTCGAGCGGTCGTCTAAATTATGACAAACGATACGACGCCACCTTTTGTTTCGTTCGTAATAATTGTACAGATCGTCTTTTGTCTTTAGTTAAGAAGGATTTCTCAATATTTCATATTCATGGAACCAACGCAGATTCTTGGGGTGAAAGTTAGGCAATTTAACTGAACTTACCTCTATTCAAAATTGCACTTATACAGTGTGTTTCAAAATGATGCAACAAAATTCATATTTTTCTCCATTTCAGATTTAAAAAAATCGCTGGAACAGGTCAATTAGTAAATAGAAATAACATTACCGACATTTTTGTTTAATTATAGTATAAATCTAAAGACCTACTGGTGACTATTTCAAAGAATCATAGTCTCTTCTGTACTTTAAAAAACGTACCTACTCTTTATTAATCTTTTTCTACTTACTTTAAAGCTTCTTTTCCCAAAAAAAAAAACATCTATAAACACACAAAATCCACCAGGGTACCTTAGGTATAATGTGAATCGTTCTAGTTCCAATTCATTCATTGTTCAAAATTATTTTGAAAAATGCTTGCCCGTTTATAGTCCAGACGGTATCTGTTTCAAAAAGTCCATATTTTGCTGAATCGTATATCCACGGAGATTTTTGGCTTTTTGGCTTTCAAATATCCCTAGAAATGAAAATTATTCTATGCGCATAAAAAACGTGGGCTTAACTTTTGACGGCACAATATGTTAAAAAATCGAATAATGTCATATTTTTCTTCCTATTTAATTATGTATCTTTTCAAGAGATGATTTTAGGCGAAAATGGAAAATGAAAAAATGTTATATAAATATGACTAATTACAAATCGAATGAATCATGATTATTATTGTAAAAATCGAAAAAATCGCCAAAAATGGGGTTAAAAAACATTACTTTTTAGGGAATTTTTTTGGGGTCTTTAAATTGGGTATAGGACCTTCATACTTGGCTCAAGAAAACTTCATGTTATGTAGAATCATCACACTAAATTTCATCAAAATCGGTTTGATAGATTTTGCATAATAATGTTGCAATCCAAATTTTGAAAAAAAATTTGCAAATGTTTTAAATTTTGCACAGCAAAAACCAAGGCCCTTAGATATTTGATAATTTAATCACATATAGAAGGGCTCTTAAACTGTCAAACGCTTTTTGAAAAATTCGAATCCGTCAATTAGGAGAGCTCGCCTAAATCGGAACCCTGAACAGGCAAAATCTAGGTTTTGGAGCCCAGAAAATCCGTATTGGATGCAAGAAAAACATACGCAAGGGTCGGAAAACGTCAATGTTTGGGCTGGAATAGTAAGAAATCGCATACTGGGACCTTATTTCGTTGAGGGAAATTTGACAGGAGATATTTGGAAATAATTTTTCCTAACCCTAATGAGCACGATATGCCTGCTGGTGATGTCTGGTTCCAACAAGATGGTGCCCCTCCACATTTTCGCCTCGATGTAAGAAATTACCTTAATGAAGTTTTCCCAAATCGATGGACAGGCAGAAGAGAGCCGCTTGAATGGCCACCACGCTCCCCTGACTTAACACCACTAGATTTTTTTTGTGGGGTTATCTAAAAAGCAGCGATTTTTTTAAATTTCAACTAGAAAAAAATATGAATGTTGTCCTATTATTTTGAAGTGAATACAAAGCACCATATCTTCCTTTGTAAGGGAAATGGATCAAATTTTTTACTATTGTTTAAAACCCGTTTTTTAATACTAAATATTAGGTGCGTCGTGTGTAAACAACGATAAAGCACATGCAGCTGCGAAACTATTGGTCTAAAGCCGCCAAAGACACGCTTTTATAAGAATCGCACTTCACAACAATAGCTTTCGTTTCGTGCGCATCATTCGCGGCTTAATTTTGTTGCTGTTTTATGTTGTTCCGGTTTAATTTCAGATGTTGTGTTTCAAAACATATGAGAATGAAGGGTGTGATTCTTTGGCTCATTCTTAGAAAAAAAAGTTGTTACTAACATGGATCCGCAAACGCACCGTTTCAATTTTTTTTCAGTTTTTTGGCAATATCTCAGGAACCGTTTGAGTTATAGAAATCAAATTTTATACACGTATTGTCATTAATATTAGCTACTGTTGGGTGCTTATTCAATTTTTATTCATATGACAGTGGCGGAGATGTTTCAATTGCGTAAGGTTCTTTTGCTCCTAATTTATACCACTCACTCAGACGTAGTTTGGAAGCCTGCATTACGCAAATAACCAATACTCTAATGTGTAATTCCACATAAAATTTTGAAGAGTTGCACGAAGCCCACTATCTTTCCTCTTGAAATCCCACTCCTGATTTCCCAAACGTAACAAAACCTGAACAAGAACCAAACAAAAGACATTCGTAACCGATCTCCCTTGGTTGCAGGCCGATCCTACCAGGGGATCAACGAGGAGATAATATGGGTCAGCATCGGGATGGGCATAGCCATCGCCGTTCTGATCACGATAGCGCTGTGCTACATCATGAGGGAGAAGTGCATCGAGAGGCGGGAGTACTACATTACGGCATGAACTGTGGCGCCGGTGTGAAATGGACACGGGCGGCGCGAGGGGGGAGAGCAGGGTCCCCGCTCTTGCCGCCCGGTCGTCTTGGACGAAGTTTGCGTAATTATGGGCGGAAGTTTCCAGTCCTGCTGAACTTCATGACTTTGGTGGTTTATTTGTGTTAAGTAGGGAATGTTAGTAGTCCCCCGAGCTACGTGAGATGTGAAAATAATAAAAAAATAATACAAAATTTAGCGATCCTCCTCACGTGCCCTGTTTTCGGTTATAACACAAACCTATACAGGGTGTCCCACCACGAACTCCATCGATGGATGTCTGGCAAACCGCTAGAAGGATTTTTTTGAATTTGCTAAAATATTTTCAAGGTTATCGTACAATTTCTGAACTTCATATTCGATTTTTTTTTGATCACCCTGTATAAAAACTGGAAAATGTCCCATGTCAAATTCGATAAATTAGGTCTTCCTCTACAAAATGTCCAATTTGCACAAAAAAATAAACCTGTGTTTCCGGGAAAATTAAATTTTGGTGACAGTGTGTATTTGTCAATTTTTGCTTAAAAATCAAAATATCTCGAAAACGGTCAATATGGTATGGAGTGTGCTATATGTTTTCAACTTAAAATTAGATGTTCTTTCCAAAAATGCAATAATATAAGGGGGTTCCATTTAAAATAAGAAAGTTAGTATCGACTTCCGGTATAACCGGAAGTAGGATGACCTTGAAAATATTTTAGCTTGGTAGGCACCATGGCCCATATCACACCATCACAATTTCAAAAAAATCCTTCCAGTCATTCATGGCATTTTGTTGTCTGTGAAAAAATCAAGTCAAGGGTTATTTTTGTGAAAATAGTTTTGTTTAACTAAAAATCTAACACTGAAAGAAGCAGACAAGTACAAAATACAAAAAACATTTTAAATTAGTTTTTCGCCTATTTTCATAGTTACAGATATCATATAATGTTTATTCTATTATTACTGCTTTTGAATTTGTAGTCAACATAAACAGAAATGTGTTATTGCATTTTACATTTGTCTGCTGTCTTCAATATGCATGAAAAGAAAACTTAGAAATAAATACTAGCCTTACTCAACGGAAAAGTATGTGTAGAACTGCTAAGGTTTAGAGAGAGGCAATGCCGCTTCATATTACTAAAAAATGTTTAGCAATTGCCTACTTTTATTATCTTCCATTAAAAATAAATCAAGTGCAATTATTCCAGATATCCTATTTGAAAAATTTGAATTACAACAGAATTTTAAATGTTCATATTTTCTTTACTAAACAATGGAACTGAAAATAATACTTTTTAATAACAACAGTATTTTCGAACCTCAAATTATCTTTTTTGTATTTTCCATCTCACGTATGTTTGATATGACCATCTTAGATTTTAAGCAAATCCACAGGACTATTCGTTAGAATCAAGTCTGTCTAAAGTTTGGTTAAAATAACAATCACTGATGGTGTCGTATTAAAATCTTTCAAAAACAATTTTGATAATTGTAACTACGCCACTGGGGTTTTTGAATAAAATAAAATAATATACAGGGGATAACTCGAGGGCGAGTCAAAAATAAAGAAGCATTTTTGTCGTTAAATTTTAAAAATATTTTTAATTTAAGAATGTTTTGATATGAACATTTACTTTGAGATCCAAGATTTACAAATTATGATACGCCATTGGAAAAATAAATTATTTCTCCTTTATTTGAACACCTCTTGTAACGTAATTTATCCAAATGTATTCATAGACTGCTAAATTTGCAGAGGAATATCTTTCCAGTGGCGTGCGTGGTTTGATTTGAGATTTTTAACGTCAAATATCACTTTATTCATGTATTCCGAACATAAAATATTGTTTTTAGACACTTCATTGTGTGGTCATACTATATTTCAATTTGATAGAAAACTGCATTTTTCTGACGAAAAGCCCTGTGACGAAAATATATGGTATTAACTTACTGTCCAATGAATTTATCGAGAGACAGCTGCTTCCTAAAGTCCACAAAATTTTATGAAACTAGCTGTCTCTGTTTTAATAAAACTTTGTTAGAAAATTGAAGCATAAGTATTATATTACATTTTTATTGTTGGGTGTGTATAGTTTTTGTGGGTTCTAGGAAGGCAATGGCGCCTCTCGAATATAAGTATAGTAGAAATAAATGTGTTTCGCAAAAATATTAATTTTATAAAAGTGTTAAGTATACTTTAAAGATTTATTTCGAGTACTTTTTATATGATAGAAAAAGTTGTGTCATAAATCAAAATTAACTAACTAGAATTCTTAATTTTTAGCTAATGTATTTAAATGGTGTTCTCAAGAGTTTACGAAAATCAAAATATGAAATAAATAGTCGTGTAATATATTTAAATAAACAGAAATTTATAAAATTGTTACTATCTAACAGATACTAGACTGCGTAAAGATAGATATAAAAGCCGTTTCTTAAACTTATGTGATAAATAATATAAAGATAACTGTGCCAAACGTAAGGTTTGCCAAAGTATCATAATCGTAATTTTTTACTGTACAGGGTGTCCCAAAAAGACCCGAACCCACCGATAACTTCAAGAGTTCAGTCTTATCAAAAAAAGTTTCTAATAAAAGTTGTAGGATATAAAGAAATCAATATGTTGATGACCTTGGAATTAACCTTCATCATAAGTGTCAAGGTCACTTGAAGGTCAAACTCAAATTTTCTCTAAATAACTTGACAAGATCGATATATTGTCATATTGATTTTTTGATATCCTACAAAAATTTCCAAATTTTGATACTTCGGTGAATCACTTATGATAAATTAATTATTATAAATCATATCGGTTGATGAGCTATATAATGGTAGAATTTTTTGTTAATAAGAAAAGTTAAAGAATAAAAATTATTTTTAAAAAATACAACTTTCTAGATGAAGATGTTTAATATTCTATTGCAATTCTATAACAATGTCGCAACAAATTATTGAACAATCAGTTTGTGGAGTTGTGGAATCAGACTCAAAATAACATATAGATAGACTTTTTCGTTTTTTTTTAATCAATCCAAACAGCTTAAGATTCTATTTGAATAGCACATTGTAACGTAAACCTTTAACAAATCTAATTTTAAAAGCAGTGGCAAAAATTCCATTACTTGTATCCTTCTCCTTTACAAAAAAAAACATTTTTCTCAATTACTTCTAAAAGTAACGATCCGCGAAGTTTTTTGCTTAACCATCTCCGTTAGGAGCATTAAAACGTCGACATAATAAGCTCCAACACCGCCTTTAAATGCCATCTATTAAGACTAACCATTTGCAAAAGCACTTAGAGGATTCTATAAACGATTTAATGTTGAAAATTTTCCAGTTTTCGCCTATCTTTCGAATGTTTTCTATAACATTGCATAATTTATTATTATTATCTATACATTATGTAGCTCATCAGTAATACCGAGTGCGCCAAAAACTTAGCCAGGGTAGCTAGATATAGCGTAGATTTAGACACTGTATGTGTTTTATGGATTATACTTACGCCATATAGCATAAACAATTTCCAAGTAAATTCCATCGGTCAATTTCGACGCAACGTAGAAATATAACCTCAAAGAAATACACCGAATGAGAGCGCTTGGAGGGGTTCTATTTCTATAATTGGGATATGGGCACACCTATTATTAGAAACACAGGTAAAATCGTATAGATTTTACTTAAATCTAATATTAACGCCATACCAGGTATTTTATTAAACAGTGATTTTGATTTTCGATTCTTCAAAACTACTAGGTAGATTTTGACAGGTGATGAAGTGAAATAAACGAAATAGCATCCAAATATGTTAATTTGTCCCGATCTTTATAGGATAGAAAACCAAAAAAAGGCAGTTACTGCAATGTTTATTTGTTTCTGATGATGGAAAAATAACTTGCTGTAACTTGTCGGCATTGCGTAAAATCTAACTGTGTAAGCCTAAGATTGTCCTTTTTCTGTGGACCAACGTAGCTATGTGTAAACATTAATAATAGAGTATATAGCAGTATATGATGAATGTCAATTGTCTATATACATAACTGTAAGCAGGTTTCATTGTATTATAGAATTCTGGAACATTGATTTTACTTAAAAAGTCTACGATAGGGTGATAGACTGTTATTATTTTTAATGGATATCTTTGTAATAAATTCTGTTCTAAAATTATGTTGTCTGTGGAATTGCCCCACTCTACCCCTCCCCAGTTCTAGAGAAGGGCTGAAAAATGCAACTTTTATGAAGCAACAGATGATCCAAATCACAGACCACCTAGACTGGCCATATGTAATTCCAATGCACGGGTACCAGTGAATGCAAAATCCGGGGAAGTGGAGTGTGGAAGGCAAACTGATCGCGCGCATCTTTAAGCAGATCCGGATTAAGTAATATTTTTATTACATATTAAACATTATATTGCATCTTATGACAAATATTCAATTTTAAGTTTGTAATTCAGAAAATAGTATATTTTAGTGTCATATTAAATAAAACTACAAAATAATTTAAATATATCTATTATCCTCTAAATAATATTAATTTATTTAATATTTGTCTTTTCGTAGATTTTACCGAATTAAATAATTTGACTTCATGATTTATTCGTACATCCATATACTTTTCACATTCAGCCCTTACAAGTTCTAATTAAATGATTACAATTCTTAGGCAAATTATCAAATTGATGTTCATGCAAATTTTCAAATATGTTCACATTCAGAAAGTTTTTTAATACATGCTAAACAATTTTATTTTTATGTAGCCTAGGTGTTCATTATTATTTAAACATTTTATTAATTTTTCTGTTTCTTAGCATATTACTACGACATCTCGTGATGGATACGTCAAACAACCACGATCTTTAATAAAAATAAATTGACTGTACTAATACTGAATCTGAAATTAGTTATGTTTGCGATTTTTTTAATTGAAAAAAATATTTAATTAATTTTCAGCTATCTGGAAATGACGGGAATTGGTAAAATTTCATAAAAATTTAACTCACATAAAGTAAATAATTACTAAATATATTTTACAGTAATTCATTCATTATTTTATAATAACAATATCACGTTAATCACTACACTATGTGGGCGAACAAAATTATAAAGCTAACCCTGGAAACTTGTGACGTTAACCGAAAAATGGCGTACATATTTACCTTTTATATATTCTTTTTTTTTTACTTACCTAAAGAAGGAAACTTTTCGCCTCTCTTCACCAACTCGATCACTTCTATTTATACAATGTTTTACAATACACTTGCCCATGATAAAACGTCTAATTATTGAAATCACAGCGATGCGTACACGTCAAATGCTAGGACACGACTGAGCGCTGGGCTCCAAATCAGGCTCCAAAGTGTTTTCACCAAAATCGCTCTATAAGCCAGTCTAGGTGGTCTGTGGTCCAAATGCTTCTGTTTTCGAGAAAATTAATAAAGAAAATTAACCATAAATGTAAACCGACCCTGTGCATCTTGTGCACGTGCATTGTGTGTTGCAGTACGTTGTACGGAGATCTTGGTTTCAGCAATGGTTTTCAGTGAATGTGTGGTGATTTTGGTGATAGAATTTGGCCCTTCCTTTAGAAGCATGTTTATTAACACATGGAAACAACTTTGAATAATTTTTGTAGAGCACATCGTCTCTTGATAAGTAATTCGTTCATTCGTTTAATTTTTATGTTACTTTTAAACGAGATTTGGATAAATTTCAGCAAAATCAAAAAAAATAACAATAACAAACTCATGAACAGTGTTAGTTTTTTTTAATACTACAAAAATATCTATGTTATAACAAAATCACTAAGTCGTCACGAGCGTATAATAAAAATTTGGAATGTGTTTACGAAGAAGGACGAAATAATCGTCCGACTCAAGAAAATTATGTCAAGTTAAGATTTATACGACGTTCTGTTTTTCGGTCTCCCTTTTTTGGTATAAATCGAAGACCAAACGAGCCATAGCCCCATCCTCCACAGCCATCCCTGAAACGAAATTTATTTTACTGCTGAATTCTTCGCTTGAAACAACGCAGCGACTTATGGCTAGAAGTATGTATAAGGTGAGCAAAATAATTAGAAAAAACGGATAAGGAGTCGTTTTCGTAAGTGAAATTACAAATTGTCGTACAAACAAAAAATGTGTGAGTGACTTTTTCTGTGGTTTTTGTTATTTGCTTGCATATGTTAATCAGTTGGAAAATAGATTTTATCTGCTCCCACTATAGTAGATAGTAGTAACAATGTATTGTTTTTAAAGAGGTAGGTGGATTTTACCGTAGAAGTTGAAGTTGCTATGGACAACGGGAGGTAAGTAAGACAACTTACCTTCCTAGGGGAAAAAAGCGGTTTCGAATTATAAATGCATATTTTGTGAACAAATAAATATAAATATTTGATGAACATTACATTTTATTAATTATTATGAATGAATATTTATAGCAGGTAATTGTACAGTTATTACATTTACAATTAGTAACATTTACACAATCTGAATAATTATTCCGTTCGCGTTTACTAATTGTCACATTGTCAAATCCTGTTGGCTATTTCATTTTTGTTACTTAAGCTGTCAGCAACATAACTTCCTGCAATTGTGGCTAATTTCCACCCACCATGTCTCTTGATTGCTAATACAACAACTCCTGTATTAGCCAGTAACGTTGCCGATGTTCTTCGGAATGATAGCTTAGATAGATATGTTTTAGGATGTTCTAGTTTCAAAAACTGTGCAATCTTATTAGGAATCACAGATAGGGTATTCTTGCCGACTTAACTATTATTTATATCCTTTACGGTGTAAATAACTTATACTTTTCACTTTGTCCATACTTAAGATCAGAGATTGAAACCCCATGCGACATCTAATTCAGGTCAACGGAACAAAAGGTAAAACTCATAGCGAGTTATGGATATTTATTTAATAATACTAGACCACTCGACTACAAATAATTAAAGTAGGTATTTGATGGGACCTTCATACAAAGTCTATAACCTTGAAACCCCCTAACCTCAACCCCATAACAACATAACCCTACAATGATGATCTTGATGGCTTCCACGACCTTGAAATGGAAAACTGAATGAACCACCATAACCTCATAAGCCCATTAACCCCAAAACCCTATGTAGTTGGGAATAGGGTTAACAGAGCAAAGAAATTCACATGATCAGGTATTTACGGTCGACTAAACTTGGAACCAAAATAGAAGTAACCCTACAACCCCGTAACTCTTCACCAGGAACTACCACAACGCCATAAACCCATGAACCCCATAACCCTATGGGACTGGCAACGCGGTGAACAGGACGAACTCACATCCGTGCTCACAAATCGACGTCTGTAAAATAAACTGACTTTCCATTATCCCACAATACCACATTAACCTTTTTCGACCCTCGCACCAAAATAAACAAATTACATCCAGATCATCGCCTTCCAAAGCCTCCATAAATAGGGCTGACCGATCCCGGGATTTTTTTTATGAGGGAAAGTGAAGTTGGCGCTTTCATTATAAATTTGCGGGATTGTTTTAATGTTTACCGCTAAAATTCCAACAGCCTACACCCTACACCGCACCGAAAGGGCTGTGATTACCAGCCCCTGAGAGGTTAAATACCAGAGAGGGAGATTTCAAATTTAATTACGGGAATAAAATTTAATGGCATTACTAGGGATTATGAGCTTCCAGTTACGCGTGGCAGCTGGAGGGGGAAGGATTCGATTCGATCTTAATGAAATCGCCTAGAGATTTATACAGGGTGTTTCACTTTTTATCTTGGTGTCTTTCAGAAATTATTTAACTATGAAAAATAATGTGGGTTTGTTTAATAGTCCAGTTGGTAGTGGTTGGGCGTGTGTCAAACCTTGATAACCCGGAAATAACTACACAGGTCTACTTTAAATGATGAGTACAATAACAGGCTAATTTGCTGACAAAGTATTTTATCAGGAAAAAAAATTATTAACAATTTAATCGTGAAAAAAAATGTTTTTAGTAGTTTTCTTTAAATAACTCAGCGGGATGACTTTGTACGAAAAAATGCTTAGGACATGATTTTCGTCAACGTCAATTTTTTAAAGTTGCTGTAAAAATGTCAATCATAAACAAAAAAGTGATAAAACTTTCGAATTTTGCAAAAAAAACGGAAAAAATAGTTGAAATGGCAGAAAATCATATTAATAATAGTGAAAAAATTTAGAAAGCGGTTTTCTAGCTTGGTTTAAGTGTTTTCTCATAAATTTTGTCGAGTCGAATTTGAATCTAGTCAGTTGAGCCTCATTACCTAAAAATTTTGCAAAAACCGCAAAATATCCCAAAAAAAAAAATGGAAATCATGAATCCCAAAAAATCTTGAACTAAATGTCATGGATATGAATTACTTCGCCACGGCGCCAATGTCTTTTTACCATAGGCGTATCTAGGGGGGAGCAGGGTGTGTACGGCCCACCCCAGAAAATAGATCTAATACGATCGTCTATCATATCGGCATATCGATAAGTCGCTGACTGCGTGACCTTTTTTTGCAATGAAATCAAAACGTGTTCATGTTTTTTAAATTTTATTTGGCAAGTTGCTGATTGCGAAAGCTTTTTTTAGAAGTTAGAGCTTGCAGTCATCCTGGGTCCACCCCAAGCAAAAATTCTAGCTACGCCTATGCTTTCTACATCGAATATCGAATGCACTTAATTCCAAAAAAGTGTCGCAGGGGTCTTCTTGAAATTCCATCTCAACAAATATCGAACGGACTGTACATCATAAACCAATCATTAACTGAAATGATTGTTGAAAAAAAATTGTAGAGAACACACCAAGAGTAAAACGCCTTTTTATTCTACTCACGCTCCAAAACAAAAGAAAGATAACTGTCATATATAACCCTCGACGCCCACACGTAGTGTTATAAGGCTACATTACGCCACAAAGAGCGTGTCAAATACTGTAAAAACACTTCGCCTCCATCCCCGTGGTTATACGTCGTTTTTCCGGAGTCGTTGCGACCTTTTTTATTTTATTACTTCCTTTTTTATCATTTTAGGCATATGTGAGGATATAACTTTATTCGAGGTTTAAAAATTTATCCCACTTCTTGCATGTGCGGTTAGATTGTTGGAGCAATCATTACACCATCAATTATGTCTTTGTTCAAGTGCAGTGGTTCGGCTTCCTCACGTGCCGTCTGAAATGTCTGAAATTTCAGTTAAATAGATCTGAAATACGTGGAGAATGCAGTTTAACGTTTTAAACAATTTTTATTAAAGTATAGTTGTTTCAGTACCTATTTATTACGTTAATGGTTTGTACAGGGTTAGTCACTATAATCTGACAACTTATTGTGAGTTTATTATTGAAACTACAAACAAGTTTTTAATACAAAAGTTTCATCTTTTTTTTTATTAATTTTTATAATACAGTATTAGAAAAACCAATTGAATAATGGAAATCACATTATAAAAAATTCATAAAAAACCTAAAACTTTTGTATAAAAAACTTTTTTATAATTTCAATAATAAACTCACAATAAGTTGTCAAATTATAGTGGCTAACCCTGAACATCTATACAGGGTGGCACAAAAATATGGAAACCCCTGAATAACTAACTCGTCAGGAGTGTATTTTCTTGAAAAAATTATAAATACAAAAGTTTTAGAATTTTTCCCTGGCTATTCAATGGCGCCCTTGTATTCGACCTTGACCTTCGAGGTCATTTCAAGGTCAAAATTGTTGTTTCAAAACTATTTTTTATTGCGGATTTGGAAAGAGCAAGAAATTTTACGTCCAAAGATGGTATTGACCATGACTTTGAAAATGACTTTGCTCTTTCTAAATCCGCAATAGTGGTCAAAGTCAAGGTCAAATCCAAGGTCACCATCAGCCAGCCACGGAAAAATCCTTACACTTTTGTCTGAAACATTTTTTCCCAAAATGCGTTCTTCGAAAGTTCTGCCGTACCGGGACTTTTGGAAGTCGACCCACATTTGACCTTGACGGTCATTGTGGTCACTTATTTTCTTCACCGTAATATTGTAACAGTTCAATTAAAAGCCTTTTTTCTCGAAAGCCGTCCACATTAGGAAGTTCTAACAAGAGTATATTATTTTTAGAAAATAAAATGGTACATTAGAAATTGGAGCCCGAATGCTAAAAAACCTAACCTCAAAAAAATTAGAACGTAAAATGTAATACGAATGTAGCATAACTAGCGCCCTCTATAAAATATACAAAAAATAATTAGACCAGCGTATTTAGCGTCCTTAAAAACCCCGGAATACCAAATATGATAAAAATATTTCGAACCGTTTGCAAATTTTCGTAAGAATTCTATTTAAAAAATTTTATTTTGTCGCTCTGCATCTCGAAAACAAGAGGAGATAGACATATAGTTCATAAAACAAGAAATTCGTATTTTTTGTCGTACTATCACCTCTTGTATTTACCGGAGGTCTTTCTGAAACACCCTGTATATGTATACTTAGAAAACACCCTGTATAAAAAAACAACATTAAGCGCGCTCACTTCCAGATGTCTGTACGCCTCCTCTGACTTAAGCCCCTTTTATAAGGAATTCTTTCATTAAAACCGATCAAACGGATCAAACTCGAGTCCCCGACCTCGCTTTAATAGTCCGATCCCTTTCCCTTACTAATGGCAGTAAATCAGGGAAGTTCGGCTGAGACAATTAACAAAGACTACGCGAGAAATTAGTGCTTTTGAAGCACCTGCCAGCAACAGCACTCAGACCCCATCGGGACGGCTTACCTAAGCTTTGGAAAACGGTGATTCGATCAGGGGCGGGTATCGGCAGCCCACCCCCGATGACATCCCCGACTTCTCCGCGGAAGTGCACCCCCAGCTTTTCCAGTCCGGAGAGGGAATCGCGGGCTCCGGCCCAGTAGTCGATGTAGACGTCTGAATTCAGGTAAAGTTGCTCGTCCAGTTCGTTGTAGTGGTTCGTCCCACATCCTACAGCTGAAATGGAAGTCGGGAGGTGATTAGAAATAATGGTAGGTCGACTTTTACTAATTAGTCAGTCGTTTTAAATTATTCAGTGGTTATAATTCGATAACCAAGGTAATTCGTTCCGCAACTACCAATACGGATACAATTATGACTGGTTGCATAACAGTTGCAATTTTTTTTGTATTATATGACTCATTTTTATTATTTTCTAAATGGCTTATTTCTTTATATTTGAGTTAAAAATGAGGGAAAGCTTTGTACGCGAGAGCGCAAATGGCTTCATTTGTCGTGCTGACTCCCAACTGTGCCAATCAAATGGCTACAGTAGGAAGCCTGCTATATTGTTGCGAGTATATATCCAATGCCGGTAAGGGCATATATCCCTAGGAGTAGTTGTTTCTCGCAACACTGACAATTAAAACATTGTCTTCGCCCTCTGTGGGTGGCAGTTGTGCAACGACGCAAAATAGCTGGTTCGTTCGTCGGTTGCCTCACCTATGACACACTGATGAGGGCTAATAAGTCCGAAACCGGTCTGTGCCTGGTGGGTAAACTGACGAACGACCCTAGCTGTTGTACGAGGTGTTGCGAGTATAATTCAATGCCGGTAGGGGCATATAGCCCTCGGAGTAGTTGAGGGAAAGCTGCCACAATACTTTATTCAATTACCAACACGTGTGTAGATTTTATTTATCTTATTCATAATGTTAGTTTAACATAATAGGTTGCAGATGATAGGGGTGCAACAGCTGGCGCCTTAAAATGCGATGTACGGTTAATACTTGCTATGCGAGTCGTCGAGTACTAATTGTGGGGTCCTCGTCAACATTTTCCAACACTGCATCTTCAACATTAGGTTCACTTGCTGACCACGTCCTGCTCCTCGAGGAATAACACTTCCCGTATCTCGCAGCCGCTGAACGTACTGTAGGATTGTATTTGCACATGGGGGGTGACTTTGTGGCCATCGTTCCCGGTACAACCTAGTCGCCGCGAACGCATTTTCTCTGGCTGCACCATACACTAACACCATATCGACACGTTCGGAAATGGTAAATGCATTGTTTTCTCGGTTCATTGTAAAACTAGCTTGTGCACATACTAAAAATTAAGCAAAGTAAGAAATAAGTATCTCGTTTCTAATGTAATCGGCACGCTATTCTTATTCTTTATTCTTTATAAAAATTATACTGTCACTATCGCGGAATTACTAAATAAAAACTTTAGTCTGGAATACTGGTACTGTAATAAATAAGTGAATAATGAATTCAATACGAATACAAAATCAGTTGACTGCACAAATTTTTTGACAATGTAACCTAACCTTCTGTTAGAATTACTAGTATTAGATTATACCGAGTTAAATTATAAGGTTGCATCTCGAGTCGCATAGAAACATTTCCAAAGTTTTTAATAAATAACATAGGGTGGGCTTTCATTTTCGTTGAATAAATGAACTTTAATTTACAAAAAAAAAAACGAGAAAATAGAACTTTTTCGTATAAGAGTTTTCTATTACAAATATCATCAGGAAACTGTAGTTTAATTTTTATAGATTATACACGCCACCGCCACACCCTGTATGCTTTGTGGGTCCCTGCAAACTCAAATGAATGATATCTGATGACAAATAAAAGATTAAATTGAGTATTTTGCAGTATTTTTGCGTGTTTTAAGTAAAATAACGGTTTTATTCTAACATTTTCCATTTTGAAACCGCCTCAGAACTCATGTAAGAAACATATTTCAGAAATTAATGACCGCTGGTCGGAGTGACCCAATTTTTTGATCCCGTCGTAGTTTCCAGCTGCATTCGAAATTAACGAGAGCAATAAAATATCGCCGCGTCGCATTTACCCACACAACGTCGACGGAGTAGCAAACAGCGAAAATAATTGCGAAACTTACCATTTATGTGAGCTCCGGCTTTTACCCATTCAAATTGAACAATAGGCGCCGTCGCATATGTTGCAGTTATTACGACGTCCGCTTCCCTTACACATTCCTCGCCGCTGGCAGCCACCCTGAATGCCTCGGTCGACAGTGTTTTATTAAGTTCGTCCACCAGTAGTCTTGCTTTCTCGACGCTGCGGCCCCAAATGCGAATCTTAAATTATTAAAGAAATTCATAGCAATTTGTTGTGGAGTTACGAACAGTTTCTTTTCGTTGTACCAGTTGCACATGTTTTCTCCAGGATACGAAACAATTTACATGACAAGACGTTGAGAATAATAAAAAAAAGTACATTTTTACCTCTTTCTTTAAGTTTTAGGCCAACCAATAGAGATTTTTTGGCACAATTAAATATTACAGTAAATTTAATGTATTTCCTTTTGAAAAATACTTAGTAAATGAAAACCCAAGTGATTTCCACAGCAAAGTCGTGAACAATTTTTTTTAAACAATAAAAACTGCAAAAAAATGACATTTTTTGCATTTCTAGGGGCAGCCCTAGAAAGAGTTGTTAGGAACTGTTTTACTAGAGAAAAACTAAATAAACAAATAAGTGAATAACTGGGCTTAGTTCTCAATAAATGATGGATTGTATTTCATAGCGTTATTATTTTATGTAGATTCAGCTGACGGTGTGATTCTGGGTTCCTGCGTTAGAGACGGGAGTCTTATTTCAGCAGTGTAGTGAATACGTTCTCAGCGATTACTTATTAAAACCCTAGTAATAAAAGTACGTCATTAGGGCAGATCTGTCTCTATAAATAAGGTGTTATTATTATTATTATTGTTATTGTGTTACTACTGAATGAATGACTGGTGACGAGAGTGGATGGTAAGGCCGAGAGGTAGTCGTGGCCCAGGGGCGCCGTATCAGGCGAGTGATACGAGAATGAATGATGAGGCCGAGGGCATTAGCCAAGGGGCTCCGTATCCAGGGGCTGAGCCGAGAGATACGAGGATGAAAGAAGTGAGCGTATGTGTGTGTAGTTCTGATTACAGGTGTTCCAGATGCATGCACAACCTACATCAGGGATGCTTATTCGAGTGACTACCCGATAGGACAGCGAGGGACGGGGCGGGGTGCCCCCGGTGAGTGTAAACCATAATTAGTTACGTATTAAGAACATACAGCAGTACTTGTTTGTTGCATATCACGAGTGATTGCCAGGAACCCTGATCACATCTCATCTGCCCATTGTTGCCTCTTGGCAGTCTGACTGCATGTTTACGTACTACACCCGTAAGGTAATCCTAATCATTAATTGTAAATAAGCTCCACTTGAAAACATACACCTAACAGAGTGATGCCAGATCTACAGATTTTTTTGGAATTGGGGAAATAGGGAATTTTGCTTTATTCTCGGGATTCTCGGGAGTCATTTTAAAAAGTATACTTAAATAACAACNTCTCGAGGCTGCGGCCCCAAATGCGAATCTTAAATTTACATGACAAGACGTTGAGAATAATAAAAAAAGTACATTTTTACTTTACCTCTTTCTTTAGGCCAACCAATGGAGATTTTTTGGCACACTTAAATATTACAGCAAATTTCATGTATCACCTTTTAAAAAATACTTAGTAAATGAAAACCCAAGTGATTTCCACAGCAAAGTCGTGAACAATTTTTTTAAACAATAAAAACTGAAAAAAAAATTACATTTTTTTGCATTTCTAGGGGCAGCCCTAGAAAGTGATGCCAGATCTTAGTCAAGGCAATGAAGCACTCAACCTCGGAATTTTTTGCACTAAGACGGATCGGAATGCGGTTTTTTGCATTCGCTTCCAAAAATTTTTTGTAGAAAATGTATCTACTTTGTATCTTATACAAACCGGAAATTGCATTGCTGCAGCCAAAAATGCATTCAAAAAATGCATTCTTTGAGACGGCTTTTGGAAGATTTAATAACTTTGTAAATAAGAGTCAGAACTGGCCCAAATCGGGTACCCGGGGGTTTTCGAGGTCGCTGATCACGATTATGATGTTCAAATTGACCCACAGCCGACCTGGAGCTCAGGAACGCCGGGGAAGGAGAGAAACTCGGCGCCCGGGGGTTTTTTGGGTCGCTGAATTCAAATATGGCATCGGCAAACACCTGTGCACCGGAACCTGGACGCGGACCTCATCTCCGAGGGTTTTCCTCACACAATCGAAAAAGACGAACCGAAAATCGTTATGGGGTGTTTTTTGGGGCGCTGAATCCGAATTTCACGTCGAAAACGACCCCCCGAACACCTGGTGACCGGAACCTGGCCCTGAACGTCATCTCCGTGGGACTGTTCCAAAATTCACGCGGGGGTTTGATTGACATTCACGGGAATGACATCGATGTCAAGATAAAGGTTCCGGTGCACCAGGTGTTGGGAGGGTCGCTTTCGACGTGAAATTCGGATTCAGCGCCCCAAAAAAAAACCCATACCGATTTTGGGTTCGTCTTCTTCGATTGTGTAAGGAAAACCCTCGGAGATGACGTTCAGGCCGAGGTTCCGGTGCACCAGGTGTCCGGAGGTATGTTTTCGGGGTGAAATTTGGATTCAGCGCCCCAAAAAAACCCCATAACGATTTTCGGTTTGTCTTTTCCGACCGTGTCTGGAAAACCATCGGAGACGACGTTCAATTGTTAAATAAATGTTCCTTTTAAACAATTTTTTTCCATATACAGTGGGTTCCGGGATGAGGTATCACACTCGTGTACACTTTTGTAACACTTGTTTATTTTTAAAGTATTCTAATAATAGAAATGAATATATATCTTATTATGAAATGCAAACTATCGTGGTTGCTTTGAATCAAACCTCAGCTGTTCACACGGAAAGCGCCAGCCAAGTGTTTATTTGCCCTTGAGATAATATAATTTATGAGCATATAACGTAGCCCAGAATGCCGAAACTAAGAGAGGTTATTCTCTGTGACAGTGGTGCCTGGCCAGCGCCCGAATAAGGTTGATTATTAAATGTGTGTGCTAGCTTGAACACATATGTTTAATGATTTGTGAATTTGTGAGTAACATGCCATATTCGTTTATGATTATATCAACTATAGCACATTACATTAAGAATGCTATGTCCTTGGTTTAAATTCGCAGCTTCTGATAGAAGAATTGGCACTAAAGAAAGTTATAATAACCAATCATTTTGCAAGAGCGATTGGTATCTTACATTTGTCCATAAAGGGGGCTGAACAGCAACAACTTATTAAAATTACAGGGCAGAGTTTAAACAGGCAATTGATCAAGCTTTGCTTACATTTATTAGAAAGAAAGCATACCGTCTGGTATTTGTAAACAGCTCAAGTGGCCACTTAACGCCCATTAATTTTAATTAGATTAGAGAAATTTCAGACAGACCCTTTTATACCTAAACTTTGACAAGAGATCATTATGTATTGGAGAAAATAGCCCGATTGTGTCACCTTAGTCAAGGTGAGGGGTCCAATAAATTGGTGGACGTCAAAACAAGGGCGGGAAATCAAGACATGGGCCTGGACGCAACGGAATCGAGCAGTTCTGGATAAGCAATAGCATACATAGATATCCTCACGACGTTTTTGTTCCTCAACGGGTTGTTTTTATTTATATAAATTGACCCTCTTTACATGTGTGTGACCGTACCGTGAAAACGTGAATTATGCCACAATTGAATATTCGGTGAGTTTTGGTCTTAATAAGTAAAAAATTAAACTAAACCGCTAGGGTCTACAGCTCGAGGCACAATGAATTCTTTCAATCCCAATTCTTAAACATAAAAATGTATCTTAATAATAATATAAACAAATACAAATCTGTCATCTCAGCGGAATGAGCTAAATAGTCGGCTGGAGACGCACGTAGACCACATCAGCGATGTATACCGGATGTCCCAGGCAGTGATTACTTTATTTACACCATTTATGAGAAATTATAGTCTATTTATATACCTTGAGAGCTTTGCTTACTGAGCATACCTATTTGTTAGAAATTATAACTAATTCAATAACTTGTGAGTCTTCTTACTGAGCATTCTTATTTAGTATTGATTGACATTGCTATATTATCTTGAAAATAATAATTGTTAGAAGTGTTATATTAATTTACGTTGTCAATCTTACTGAGAAGTTATACAGGGTTTTAGAAGTTTGACTGTCTTAATTTTAACAGATGATAGAATACATTAAATTAAACAAAAAAACCTTATACGACATGGGTCCTAAACTCAACCATTTCCGAGAAAAAAATTGTCAATCCCACTTGATGTACAAAAGTTCGTTTAATTAAGGAATATTGACATAACTGCGTGCATAGAATACCATAAAATTCAATGTTTATCCCCTTTTTGAACTTCTTTATGCTTAATTCCAAAAAATAACCCCACCACACAAAAAAAAAGTTGTCTGAAATGTACATGCGACATATGATTTCCGATGTATTTTCGCTCGCTGAACACGAATCCGGAGTCAGAATTGCTCCATCACCCTTCAATTTTCAGCAAAACGCTGAAGAATCTTCTGAAAAATGAAAATTTTCCTTTTTGGTAAGTAGGTACCTAAATTATTTTTAATACGTATGATTATTTGGACGACGTGATTCTATGGGTACTTTAATTACATATTTTTCAATTTCATAATTTGATTAAAAATCAAGTTCATGTTTTAACAGATTCATAATTAGTAAAATTCGAGCTAAAATTTAAACACGACACTATCTTCGTACTTCAAAATCGATTATTTAATTTCTTTAAAAACTGGAAATGTTTCACAACAGTTGTTTACATTTTTCTTATTCTGGAACAAGTCTGCTGCGTTCACACGTGGTCTGCATCAGCTGTGTAGTGTTAGGTTAAGCGCTGTTGTCACGTTGTGATGAAACTCCCCAATATTAATTAATACTCGCTGTATTTTGAAAAGTGTTAATCTTACCCTCCTGTAATATACAACTTTTTTGTTCATTTATCTCTTGCTGAAGTAATGGCAGTCAAACTTCTTACACCCAGTATATTTGATTTTACGAGCGTCACTAATTAGACTGCATATTCAATTGAAGAAAGAATTAAGTATCTTTTGCATAGATTAGTAAAGTCATATTTCAAGATATATACTCAGTATAGTAAATTGTCATTTGAGTAACAATAAGGGTTAAGTACATATTACAGAAAGGATTAATTTGTGTTAGTAACTGTTGATGAATTGGTATTACGAATTAAGTTGCTAAATCTGCACAGCTGATAGGCCAGCTACTAGTAAGTTTGATGAACTTTTAATGTGAATAAGTTGTCTATGCATTTGACGCACTTTACTGTTTTGCTCGTCAGTACTGACAGTGTAGAGCTCAATGTTTTTTGTGTACGTTGCTTATTGATTGTGCAGTAGATATATTACACCTTATATACAGGGATGGCCAGAAGTACGGAATAAAATTCATATTTTTTGAATGAGTTATTTTTTTTAAAACGCCGAAACACGTTAACTGATTTTGATTTTTTTCCCATCTTTCGGTTATATAATAATTAATTTTTCTTCAACCCCCTAACCCCCAGCTACCCCTACTTTTTTTTCAAATGGAAACATAAGGCATGAGGGGGCTCGTTGAAAAGCTTATAGAAAACCGAATCCAGCCATACCAAATAAACAAGTTTTATTTTTTCAATAGCAAGGTTTTTAGGGTTGTATAAAACACCTACTTAACAAGTGAAATAAAATTTAATTATCTTCAGTGTTATCCTCCATGAATTTGCACAGAATAAAATAAAGAATTTGAAACTGTACCTATCACTGCTAACGCAAAAAAGATATATTTTTTATGTTGCGTTTTTTTGGCACCACTTACTTGCCAGGCTTTCTGGTTAATTTTTCGCTTTAGTTGTAAATTGGAGTTCGAAACGTTACTATTGTGTCAAAATCAAGTTATTTACTGAATTGCAATGGTATTGTCGGAAAGGCAACGCATCGAAATCTTGATATTGCTTGGATGTGGAGACAAAATAAGAAGTCAGGCTGAAGTGCGCGATTTATTTAATGCGAAATATCCCGAAAACCAAATCTCGCAAGGGACAGTTAGTAAAATATTTCACAAATTTGAGGAACACGGTACAGTACAGACTTTGCCCAAAACTGGACGGGCACGTGCTTTGAATGAAGAAAAGAAATTAGACATTGCATTAGAACTTGTTGAAAATCCTCATACTTCAACTGTTTCATTGGCCCGCAATCACGATGCTTCTCGAACTGCAATTCGAATGTTTCTGAAACAAGAGAAATACCACCCCTATAAGGTATGTCTTGTCCAAGAGCTTTTGGAAGACGATTATGATAGGCGATTACAATTTTGTGAGGAAATGATGAGACGGTGTGACGACAATAATGGTTTTCAACGAGACGTACTTTTTTCGGATGAAGCTACGTTTTATTTAAATGGAGTGGTTAACAGGCACAACTATCGCTTTTGGTCCCAGGAAAATCCACACTGGACATGCGAATCGCATACGCAGCATCCACAAAAAGTTAATGTATGGGCAGGTATCATCAACAACAGAATCTTGGGCCCATTCTTTTTTGAAGAAAATCTTACTGCCGCACGCTACCTGGATTTCCTAACATTTGACCTGATACCTGCTCTAGCTGTGATTTTCCCTCATGAAATTGATCCAGATATACCGAATGAAAGAATTTGGTTCCAACAAGATGGCGCTCCCCCACATTTTGGTATTGATGTTCGAAGATACTTAGATGAAATGTTTCCAAATCGCTGGATTGGTAGACGGGGTACAGTTGAATGGCCGCCAAGATCCCCCGACTTAACACCCCTGGATTATTTTCTTTGGGGATATTTGAAAGAAAGAGTCTACCAGGACAGACCGGATAATATTGAGAATTTAAAGAACAAGATTAGGGCGGAGATGCATAATTTACCAGCTGAAGTCATTCAGAATGCTGTGGACAGCTTTTACTATCGTCTTGGAGAATGCCAAATAGTGAATGGAGGACATTTTCAGCATTTGCGACATTGAGTTTATTTTTGTAAATTATCTAGTTGTTTCAATTTCTAAATGAAAAAAAACTTGTTATTGAAAAAATAAAACTTGTTTATTTGGTATGGCTGGATTCGGTTTTCTATAAGCTTTTCAACTAGCCCCCTCGTGCCTTATGTTTCCATTTGAAAAAAAAAGTAGGGGTAGCTGGGGGTTAGGGGATTGAAGAAAAATTAATTATTATATAACCGAAAGATGGGAAAAAATCAAAATCAGTAAACGTATTTCGGCGTTTTAAAAAAAATTTACTCATTCAAAAGATATGAATTTTATTCCGTACTTCTGGCCATCCCTGTATGTTTAATGTTAAATGGACACCGACATATTTATAAATAGAAGCGAAGTACATTGACATACATTTGTTAACTAGGTAATAGGGTGCTCAAGTATGTTTTTAAATCATTTTTATTTCATCTTACAATCACAATGGTCAAGTCCTGACCTGCCCCGACAAGAAACCATTTGTCTGAGGTACCTATTTACGTTTTTCTTTAGTTACACATATAATTATTTGCGCTCGCAAGAGAGGTAGAGTAGTTTCAAAATCTTATGAGCCGCGAAATGCGCGAAAGGCGTGGCGTATCCGCATAATTCTTCTAATAAGCACGTTGTGAAAACATTGACTCAGAACTATACCATGTGCATCATTACAAGTAGAAATGAACTAAGGCGCTCTGCCATCAATAAAGTCAACTGGCAACGTTCGTTATATATATTTCTATTGCTTAAATTAAAATAATAAAGAATAGGGCATTTTATTATGATTGTAATAGGATCAAAGGCTTGTTTACGCTACGAAAGCTCGAGATAGGCTGTGAATAATAGATGTTATGTTTTTAGAATGTAGAATAATTTAGGCGACGCTCGGAATTATGTTTCTGCGCATATGAAGGTCAAAGCTCATAAGATTCTGAAACAACTCTAACAAATATATTCACATGTTGTCAACCTAATAATCGACGACCGATTTCCACCCTTGTCACTCTTTTCAATCCTTTATTTTCCCTTATGAAAAACTCAAAATCTTACAAATTGCGAGCAAAATTATAAGCAATTTTGTAATAATATTAAGTTATTTGTTATACCTATTTGTTCGTATTATTTTATGTTGCATATTTTTATATTATTAAAAACATTATTAGCAGTTAGTAAAGAAATATTACTAAAATTTTGAAATAACATTTGATTGGCTACAGAATAGGGATGCGAAATTTTCTATGTAAATGTTTGGAATGAAAATATCACTTACAATTTTCATGAACATTTTTGAGATATGTACCTACTTTCCCCTCCATAAACAAATTATTTTAACAGCCATTATAACGGCATTATAGAAATAAATCACTGAACGATTTTTAATGTATAAAGGACGCCGTTGAGGTTATTAAACGACACTTCACGTAAGTAAGTAGGTATAGCAGGAAACTGAAAGTAAAATATTTATGTTATCGCGTATGTCAGTAATATTATCAAACGCGTGGGTTAGTTTTGCATCATGCAAAGCTATCATTGTAGTTTTGCTGCTGAAGCACTTTCCATGGCAGTTTCTTCCCTTTCTCTCACTTCACATGAAATATTTGCGGTCATCATATGTCATATGCATGATAACTCTCTACTCAACTTGTCGTCACTCGCCAGAGTCGTCAGTAATTAGTTATTGTGCATGTGCAGTTTGGTTCGCATCTGCTAATCAACAAATAAAAAAGCTGGTAAGAGGATTCTTCTTCTCATTTTTATTTTGTCTCTGTTCACGAACACTTTTCTCGATGTATACCTATTTACTTAAAATTATTTTTTCGTCTTACTGCACCACAAATATTACGATATACTTCATGTAATTGTAATTGCGTAAATTAGCACAAGAATCATACAAATTCAAGTATTGTACGAGTTGAAAAATATATTTATATGCTCGTGATATTAACGAGATTTTTTAAAAGAAAACATGTTAAAAGGCTTCATATAACAGCTTGAATTATGCTATCCGTAATATACCGTATAAGTAGGTAACCGCGCAAAAGATAAACAATGATAAATATTATAGGAAATATTAAGTTTACTTACTTCTTTGAAATTAAAAAAATTGTAAAACGCCTCAGCGTGTACCCTCCCTTGAGCCCCATACCCGAGAATGGCTAGAACGTTACACTTTTTATTATTTTTGCTGAAAATATGTTTAGTAGCAACCGCTGAAGCTGCTGCTGTTCTCCACTTTGTTATTTGTGTGCCCCCAATACTCTGCAACAAAATAACTTAGTTTGTTTACGCCATAAACTATAATTAATTAAGTACCTATAATACATGAATATTCGTTATATATTTATTTTACAATAATAAAATAATAGTCCTCCAAACCTACAGCTTTTAAAATTCCGGTGGTTTCGTCAAAAATCATAATGTTTGCGTTGATAGTCGGAAGGGGTTTCTCCATATCGGCATTGCTTTTAAACATAGTCACTAATTTGCAGGCCAAAGCGCCGTACGTTTTGTCTTCCAAATATCCAGGCATGGTCAGTAACAAATTGTCGGAGTTCAATAGTTCGGTGTTGACCCGCGCTTTTTGAACTACCCGCCCCTGCGAAACTCTCAACATGGCGGTTTCCACCGCGCGGAAAGTATCGTTCCAGTTCAGTAAATCGGACACCTGTTCTTCAGTGATGATTATCATGTTTTGAGTTAGAATATTCTTTCTCTCTATTTTCCAAATGGATAAGTACCAATTTATCTTAGTTTCGTTAGTTCGATAATTATTAACAACAAAAAACCAGGAAGTTGGCTGCAAACCACAAACCACCGATGTAAACAAAAAGCGTGTTTTCACAGACATCCTCCAAAACAAACAGAAGTAAATCATTTTGGAAAAAAGTAAGTTTATATCAAAAATGTGTCTCCAAAGCCTTTATTATAAAAAGTTAACAAGGAATCGATGGAGTCTAATCACCTTTTTGGTCGAACATGACGATTGCCCTAAGTTACGTGATCTAAGACTTTACTTTTAAAACGGTCTTGTTATACTCTTAATGACTTCTTTTCGTTATGAAATTGGTAAACTATTAATACAAATTTAAATATAGCAACAGAAGATATAATTATGTAGAACTCTAGATATTAATAAAATTATCATAAACGAAGAGATAAACAAACCCCTCCCGCTTATGACTTCTCTTTCTGTGCCCCCGTCAATTCGCACTCTAACAAAACACGGTAGACTCCACTGTGTATATAGCTCATTGATTAAATGTTAGTTCTCGAAAAATAACTTAAACGCAAAATATTCCTGTGAATCTTTAATAAACGTTTGACAGGCGTTTGACGATTGACGATGACGATTTAAAAAAAGTGACAGACGACAAATCCATTTATGACAAAAATTACAAAAATCGCGGTTAGTATAAATAAAATAAATATGTGAAACGTTTAAAAACAACTACAAAAAGATGTATTCATGTTATTACGTTTCATTAACAAGTGTCATTTCATTTTGATTGATGTGAATTTTAGCAAAACAAAGCAATATTGCTATTGTGTACACGACATTTACAGACCTATTTACCGTTCATATATTACCAAAGAGTAAGTGATTACGTTTACATATGTAACTAATTAAAATACATTTAGTTTCAAAATGCATTCCACCTGGCGAAATCAGACCGATGGCATGGATGACATATGGGCCCTATCGGAAATGGAAGGCGTAGGAAGCCGCGAGATAGAGGAACCTCCGCCAGCAACGATTCTGGAGTACAGAGCTCAGATGGCAGCGAATAATACTGGGAGTGTTTACGACAATCCCATGTTTGGCGATGGGGACGTTACTTATGTTATGCCGGGACGAGGCCGGGGAGGATTCAGGACAATGATGCGACCAGGGGCCTCACAGCTTTCTGATAATTCTGTGACTGAGGATGTACAAAGGAAAATTCGACAGGTGGGTGCCAGTTTTACCGATAAGGATAATGCTTTTGCGCCTCCAGACTGGACATTGCGGGTGTTAGGGTCAATATAACGTGAAAGTGAGAATCTGAGAATGTAGTATGCATTTAATTGACACAATATGACAGAATGTCAAGAAGTAAAACTGTGCAGTTTCGGTTATCTCTGTTTTTGAACTTGAAAAACAATAGAACATAGCAAAAATTGTGGTCTTGTATGTGGGGTTAGATATCTTTTGCATATCCAGATTTCTTGTATCAAAGAACATTGTTCAACTTCATTTGATATTTTTTAGAAAAAAATTTTGGTTTTGTTTGTATTAGCTTAATATCTTTAAAATTTATTCTTGTTTATTTTTAAAATCGATTTAAAAAGGAGAGTTTATTGCACAATATTTCGTAGTATTACTTGATTTACAATATTTTACTGTTAAATAACTCCAGTAGGCACAAACTTTTTAAAGTTTTAAAAACATTAATTTTAGGGTTGTTCCGGTTGTGACAAATAACTAAACATTTTTTTCAAAAACTCATCAAAAGTCGAGATTTTTGCGACACAAATCAAATAAAATTTTGAGGTTATAGAACAAATATGCATGTAATTATAAGTAATTATTTCTCACCAACAGAACGTTATCACAGTAGGTATCAAACAATTCAGTAAGGGCATACATTTTTGTTTTTTGGAGATGAAGGATTGTGACTTTGAGCAAGTCAGCCATATTAAAAACGAGTAGAATCTTTCTGTCCTCCGAATACAGAAAGACAAATGCAGATTTAAAATTTGATACAAATAATTGACACTAGCGAATGCGAATACGTATTTTACTATTTCAGGTGGCGGGCATGGGCTATTCCAACGCACTAATAGAGCAAGGGGTCAGGGCTATGACTATCGCCAACGAAAAAAACAAAACCCCAACCTCTGAGACAACCAGCACTTCGAAAACTTCATCTCCGTACAAAGTGGCACATCCGAACTCTCCCTTGATAGAAAGAAGCTCTTCCACTTGCTCCTCCTTGAGTTCGATTTCGCCACATCCGGTGACGAACGGAGAGTCTGGTCCTCCGCCCCCGTTGAGCGTCATGCGCCAGAGAGCCGCAGAGGAAAGAGCGAAATCCAAACAAAAGGCCTCCGAGAACGCTTCTTCGCCGAAAACCAAATCGTCCACCATTAAAAAGAGTGAGAAATCTCCAAGTCTGAGGTCTCCTTGTAACGGAAAGAGGACCGCTTGGCAAAGAACCAGTCCGGGTTCTGATGACGGTTCCTGGAGGCGACAAGACGGTAACAGTGCCGATAGATTTTTCAAGTCACAGTCTAACGGTTTTAACCTAAATTGCGACGATTTTCCCGCTCTAAAGTGAGCCATAATATTTCTTTTGCTGTTTTTGCGTTGGTGGATTGTTATTTATGGAAATTAATGCGTATTAAAGAGAAATTGACGTACTAGGTGTACTTTTCCTTTTACTTGTGGACTTTTTTTTTGGCGACTGATGAGATTTTGGACGGATAATTATTAAAGTGGAATATTTTTCTAACGATTTTTTATCGATGGTCGAATTTTTTTGTGTCGGTCTGGAAAACCGGGAAAACCTCGGTGAATTTTTCCTATTTTCCTGGATTTTGTTTTGATTCCAGCTGTAATCGGTTGCGATATGACTGGACGTCAGTGGGTTAGTTATTAACGCTCCCGTTTCCATTTTTGTTATATACAGGGTGTCCAGATTTGCAGAAACCGAACTTACTTGGTGGTAGAACTCTTCAGAATAAGCAAAAAGTTTTTTTAAAATGCGTGTTATTGGTTCTTGTGTTTTTACTTTATTTTAAAAGTTAAAAATTAACATTCTTCTTTTTTTTTAAGAAAATTAAGAAAAAATTAATGATTTTTAGAATTAATTGAAGAACATACAACAAAAAAATTAGGAGCTTAATTAAATTTTGCTCCAAATTCCCAAAACTTGACCAGAATTTTGAGTTTTTCGCACAAAAGCGGCCTCTTGCGTTTTTTTATTTTCTCGTTTGAAAAAACCCAAATCTTAAAATTGTGGTTTTAAATAAGTGAAAAACCCTGAGGACGGGACAGAATTTTTCCCAAACCGTCCAGTTTCACCCACCCCGAATGATTCTAGTCCATCGCTATCGTTTTCATTCTTATAAAGAATACAATTTTTTATACATTTTCTACATGTTTTTGAACACATCAAAAAATATATATTTTTTAGAAATTTCAACTTGAACACCCTGTATCTCGGAAATTAAACACCTCTGGACCTGTATGCTAATAGAATTAGGCAAAAAGTCCCTCTTTAAAAAAAAATACACTTTATATTTCGATACTTACTTAATATTCAGACGAGCAAAAATTATTAGATAATTTTTTTTTTATTCAAATTTTGTGAAAATAAGGTTCAAACTTTATGGCAGCTACTGTATCGTTTTTGAAATAATATTTATGAAGGAGAGATAAACAAAAAAATTGGAAATGTGGCGATTGAAAAATGGCAATTATAGAACATGTTTTCCTGGGAAATTCTTCAAATCTAACTGGAAAACTTTGAATTTTTTTGTTGTATAGTCCAATTAAATGGGCCTTTAAATCGTATTCGTTGCCTTTAACTTTGCAAATTCAGAATCGTCGAAATATAATCCTACATCTCATTTTTTTTAACTTCACAGTAAAAATTTTCGACGAATCCTTGTTAAAGTGAAATTTCTCTATCAATGACTGAATTTTTTCCGTATGTTGCCAAAGTTTTGATGCAACAATGTATCTCTCTTTTAAAACAGGGTGTCCCACCGGAAACTGCATTGATCGATATCTAGGAAAGTATTGCCCCGAAAAATTTGAACATTTGGCAACATGGCAATGTCCCTAGGGCGAACACAACTAAAATATCTAGAACTCTCCAGCGCTTCCGGTTATACCAACTTGGTTATTTTAAATGGGACACCCTATATATTATTGGTTTTTCGGGTTCTATATGAAATTTGAAGGTCACTTTATTAAATATTCCCTGTACCTAGGAGATATAGATTTTGAGATATTAATTTTTAAAGAAAAAATTTGACAGACGCAAGGGTCCGTGGAGATACTAGTAACTTTTTTCAGGACCGTGATATCAGGCGGATTTTTGGTACCTGTAAAGGGCATAGGTAACGCTAAATTATGGTATACCAACAAATTTAAACATTTAAAACTAGGTGTTTCATTTTTGCAGTTACATTTTGATAACTTCGAACAGCTATAACTTTGTTCACTTAAATGGAACACCCTGTATTTTTTTACTCGGTCGTATGCAGGTTGAAATTTCCTTTCAAGCCATATAATTACCATTACTACTTTTAGAGATATTTGCAATTTTCTATTTTTTGGACACTTTCTCTTATCAGACCTGTTGTCAAATTGGCCATGACCAGAAACACTCCAAAACAATTGAAATGACACTTGTCAAGTTAGTTGTCAAATGATTGTTGTGTCTGAATAGTTTTTGCTGAAAATTTAAATAAAAATGCCTGGGGATCGTTTAAATTATACTTATGAGGATTATTTTAATTTGTTGTTATTTATGAAAAAAAGCAGCAGATTATATATCCTCATTAGTATAATTTAAACGATCCCCAGGCATTTTTATTTAAATTTTCGGTAAAAACTATTCTGACACAACAATATTTTGACAACTAACTTGACAAATGTCATATTATTTCAATTGTTTTTGGAGTGTCTCTGGTCATGGCCAACTTGACAACAGGTTTGCTACGAGAAAAACTGTCAAAAAAATATAAAACTGCAAATATCTCTAAAAGTAGTAACAGCAACCCTAACAATGCTTATAAGGCTTGAAAGGAAATTTCAATCTGCATACGACCGAGTAAAAAATATAGGGTGTTCCATTTAAGTTAACAAAGTTATAGCTATTTGAAGTTATCAAAATGTAACAGCAAAAATGAAACACCTAATATTAAATGTTTTAATTTGTTGGCATACCATAATGTAGTGTTACCTATGCCCTTTAAAGCTACCAAAAATCCGCTTGATATCCTGCTCCTGCATCTCCGCAGACCCTTGCATCTGTCAAATTATCTCTTTCAAAATTAATATCTCAAAATCTATAACTCCTAAGTATAGGGAATATTTAATAAAGTGACCCTCGAATTTCACGTAGAATACAAATATGCAATAATATATAGGGTGTCCCATTTAAAATAACAAAGTTGGTGTCGACTTCCGGTATAACTGGAGGTGCTAGAGAGTTCTAGATATTTTAGTTGTGTTCCCACCAGGGACATTGCCATGTTAACAAATTTTCAAATATTTCGGAGCAGTACTTTCCTAGATATCCTGTATTAGTAGTTCAAATTCATCGAAATTTAAAACTGTTTTGCAATACATATGAACGTTGAAATCTAGAGTCTAACTTTACTTTAGAACACTCTGTATATTACATCCCGTTTCCAAGCAGCACATGTTCTCATTTTATTTCCATTACATATTCTCTTAATTCTCTTTTTTTTGGAATATATATACAGGGTGTGTCCGAAATCTTTACCGTACTGTAGCTGCCGAGAAATGTTGTCTACAGAATTCCAATATTCCATAAATAACAATTTTAGTACATAATTTGTCTTATTATTTTTATGCAAATGCTTTTTCTTATTATTTTTATGCAAATGTATTTGTTTATTATTTGCACTTAGTTTTTAAGGTTAGGTTAGGTTCGTTTAGCGCATCCACCGCATACGTTTGTATTCGACGAGGCTCTTTTTAACCATTAACTGTAAGCTATGACGTGTCGTAAAATTCTCAGAGTAGGTACTTCCCATAAAGAGGGAATGAAAAAAAAGACCATTTTGTATTAAGAACATCGGCAAAAATCTGACGAATATTTCGGTGCGTCTTTAAATTGTTTATCGCGAGCTTGAACTATGCGCCCTACTTATTTTGTAACACCCCGTATGGGAAAATTTTGTTTATTCGAGCGGTGGCTGCGTTAAATTTTGCGTCGAGATCAAATCCGACGCAAAGTTATGCATATTACGCCTGTTTGAAAAATATCAATCAAGGTTAATATTGTCGATTTAATTTAAGGTAGTCGTAAACCGTAGATTTTAGTATAATATTTTGTATGGTAGTTTATAGGAGGTATATTTTGTATATTTAGTTAATTAATAAAAGTTGAAAAGCCATTGTATTCTAATTTTCTAAAAGTGAACAGCTATTATGGAAATACTTCTGTACAGGGTGGTTATAAAAAGTTAAATATCTTTATGTGGAATTATAGGAGGCTATGAATCGTAAAATATCCTGAAAGTTTGCTGCTCTTCCAAATTTTTTACATTTGTCTGTTTACCAATGCTTTACATGCTCATTTGTCATTATTATACAGGGTGTTTCGCATACGAACCGACACAGAGCAGGAGCATTTAGGGGAATCCAAAATATAGTGATTTTAACGCAACTTACCTTATTAGACAGGGCGGATCTGTCGAAATATCCCACTTCTTGAATGTAAGACGGGACAAGCTAATTTTTGTTGGAATACCTTCAGTACAACTCACATAATAAAAGTGTAGATTCCTAGATCTGGGCGAGGTCCAGAACATTTATTTTTTTTTTAATGCGTATTTTATCTGAGTGTTTTACTTATATCCTGGAACCTATGCATTTTGAAGAATATTGAAGAGGAAAAAAGTTTTTGAATTGAATTTTGCACAATATACTGTAAGTTAAAAATGTTTGAATTTATTACAGATGTTGCAAAATAGAAATAATTTATGAAAAAAAGCAAAATAATCAAGTTCTGTGGATAATTTTTTTTAAATAATTTTAATTGCTCTGAAGGCATTCTAATTAAAACAAACTTTTAGAGTGTAACAAAACAATCCACGAAATTTCATTAAAATTTGTTCGAAGTTTTTGCAAAATAATTTTTTGAAAAAAATTTTCGACTTCAAAATATTGTACAGCCTCAAATAAAGCATCTACATATTTAAAAAATTTTTCACAGAAAAGACCTCTCAACCTTTCAAATGGTTTTTGAAAAATTGAAATCAGTTGATTAGGACGGCCAGAGTAAATTTTTAAAATTGACACTCTTTTAATTTTTAAACAATTTATTACATTTATCAATTTGCAATTTAGTTTTTTTTCAAAAATTATAATTTTATAATACTCGGAAAGACGCTTTAAAAAAAAAAGTTAAAGTCCGTTTATTATTTCTCGAGGTATAAGCGGTTATCGAGATTTACCGTTAATTTATAAACAATTTAGCAATAATCTTTGATCCAGTGGCTTCGTTTTTCCGAGTTCTAAGCTGAAAAAAATTTTCATATCCATAAGTTATCGCCAACATAGATAAATCAGCGGAAAAGCTGTCGCTCGCACGCGCAAAAAGTGACTCAAAACACGAAAAAGTGGGGAAGGGGGCTTTCGCTCCGAGACTGAATTCGGTGGTTCAAAATGCGAAGGTACGAAAAAAATTGCATTATCTCGACTTCAAATGAACCAATTTCGATCTTTTTTTTAATCTGATATCTCGCGAGCCAAGGAATTCGAATATCGTAATGCCAGCTGTCTAATTTGCACATATTTTGTTATAAACAAAGTTTATTATTTATGCATTAAACATACTGTATATTTTACCTTATGCTATTGCATTTTTTCAATGAAAAAATTTGTTTACGTACCGTCATCTGGGGTGAAGTCGGATAGTAGGGGCGAATGCGGACAGACGCACGTGTACGTATATATTTTTCAAGAATAAGCCACTGATTTGCAAAAAAATGTTAAAATCAGTTCTA